AAAAATTTGTGGCTCCAGGGTACCTCAGAATTGCCACTAATCCCCTAAACAGGCTAGGAATGCAAGTACAATATATGCTTGTATATCTACAAACAGCTTATATATCTGATGTCTGAAGTTTGTTGCATCATGCTGTGCTTTTCTTACCCAAGCAGAACTGAAACTGAAATGTTAGCGGCAGTGAAGGATAAAATTCAAATCAAGCTGTGATTACATCATGTGTAATTTGGCCTATGTAGACATGACAAGCAGCAAGCTGCAATTTTGCACTTTTTTTCTTAACAAGTGTAAGCACTCTCCTGGTGTCAGCCTCTCCCTTCTCCTCAGCTGGAATGGGGTAGAGAAAAGAGTACAGGCACCCAGTCCAAACTTTTTTGGGACACATCCTCAGATTAGTATTTCACTTGTAAATAAAAATAAACAGCAAGCAATCTATTCAAGTATTTGCTGTGGGGAATCCCTTAGGAGGCCAACTGAAGGTTCATAAAACAGTCTGCAAAGTCTTTCTTTTGATTTAAAAAACAAAGGGGGTTGGGAGGAGAGGGAATGAGAAAAAAGGATATATCTGTACAGGGTGTCAGTCTTGCATAGCTTCCGAAAGAGTAGCGTGAGCTTACTCTGTTGCAGCTAAAAGCAAGGAAACCATGCCCTCTCCCCCCAAAGGTTATGGCACAGATTTTGAGGGCTACAGTCTTCCCTGGGAAAGCAGACATGCTCCCCAAAGCTACAGGCACCTATAGGACCCTGCAATTGCTACCTTTTAAAATTGCTAAATAACAATACTAATGCTACTCATAAATAAATATTAATAAATCATACCTCTCACCAAACAGTCCCCACAGGCTTTGCTCGCGTCGGTACCCCGTATGATCCTTTCAGGAGGCCATTTACGCTTTTCTTCAGTATCACCTAGCCAGCCGAGCGAGGGGAGTATTTCACAGAGCCAGAGCGGGGCTGCCTCGGCCGAGAATCTTTCCCTCCCCGTTGCTCATTCTTCCCGAGAGACGCCAACAGCGGCCCATCAGGAACAGAAATAGGAAAGGGGCTAGAAGGGACCCGAGGGGCGCGGGGAAAAGCAGCGCCAGGGGAGGAAACCCGCCGCCCGCCTCACCCCTCAGCAGCTCAAGAGTCCTCGAG